TGTTTAGGCTCTTCCAACAGCGCTGCCGCTCTGAGATCCGCTTGCTCTTGACGCGCCTTCTTCAGGAGAGTGGTTTTGCTGGGAGGCTTTCTAACTTTCGGTTTTGCCTTAGTTGCTGTTTTTTTGGCTTTCCTGGTAGATGGTTTCTTGGTTGAAGTGGCCTTTTTGGTGGTTGATGTGGTGCGTTTGGCAGATGTCCGGCCTGTATGTTGTTTTGGGCGGCTTGCAGGCTTTGTAGACGCTGTCGCGTATGCTCTAGCTTGCTGGAGGGATGATGCAAACTTCGCAAGCTTATATCGGGAGCTCAAAGGGTCGTCGTTGGCCCTGCAATTGCATGTCACGCGTAGAAGAGGGTTGGCCGATACAGGTCGCGTGAGGGATCGAGCAGATCTGGCCAACAGCTGGTTGGCCAAGGGCCGGGAGAAAGGGAGTGCGACCGTCATGGCCGCCCTTGAGATAATGACAAACTATTCAATGCAAGGAGGCTGCCCTCCAAACATGTATGATTCTGGTTTGACTTGTTGTATTCGGTGGCTGGGGGGGGAGGCTTCCGTCGATCGATCCACGCGTGCCTGGTCCAATCCAGGCCGAGCTTGTGGCTTGGGAGTCTTGCGGAGGAGTCTATCACGTGAAAGGCCTGTGCTTATGTAAGAGAGGCACCAAGAAAATGCGGGACATTGATCGCCTGCGGGAGGTTCGAGTTTTGACCTGCAGCCTTGAGACGACAAGTATCCCGTGAAAAGTGTTGTATCGACGAACGGCGCGGTATACCACAGTGGTGTCATACAAACCCATACTCTCGCCAGCCTAGAGTCCAGCCTTTTGCCACTCTCCGACAGTCCATTCTCGAGCCTGGTTCCTGATTTGCAGTTCAAGCAGTAAAGCTCACTTATCTGCAGCCACAGGATGGCTAGGCACGGGGACACTCGCTCACCATCACCTGCAGGCAGTTCTTATTCCTCGTCAAAACGCAGCCGAAAAGATGAGGATCGCTACGAGAGAAGTCGAAGAGACGATAACCGTGACCGTGACCGCGACCGCGGTCATCGTCGGAGACACTCCAGATCTCGGAGTCCTGATGTATGGCACCTTTCCCCATCTCATTTCCCAATAATCCAATCTCACAATTTTCCGCGACAGAGACGACACCGTGACCGCGATAGAGACAGAGACAGGGATCGCGACCGAGATCGTGACGCCTACCGTCGCCGAGACCGTTCCTTAGACCGACGCTATGATGGGCGGAAGGACGATGACTACTACTATTCTAAAAGAGACAGAGACAGAGACAGATCACGGGAGCGCGATCGACGACGCTCACGAGACCGTGACGACCGTCGTCGGAGCCGAGACCGAGATGGTCGCTCGAGGCGCGACGATTCCCGCGACAAGGATCGCCGGCTGAGAGATGAGTCTACTGAATCTAGGAAAAGGAAACGTGATGAAAGTTGGGATCGCGGTTCCAGACGAGAGTCGGGCGTTGCTTCGAAGGAGGTTAGTACTGACCCAAAGTTTGCAGTTCTTATAGAGCTTATCAACGTTCAACAGGCGTCGAAACCAGCCACCCCTACTGCATTGACGGCCGAAGAACAGAAAGCGGCACGTCTGGCAAAGTTAGAGCAATGGAAGAAGAAACAAGCGGAAGAGCAAGCTAGGAAGCAAAGGGAGCTCGAGGCCGCTGGTGGGGCACGAAGCATATTGCAGGAGATTGACAGGAAAGCAGGCATCTTGCCGGCAGTGAGTTCTCCGCAGTCCCCTGCAGCTCCTACTTCGCCATCACCAGTTTCAACGCCGTACGCTGGCAAATTCGACCCCAAGGCCATAGCGAAGAAGGCCCAGCATGCCTCGGCCACGACCAAGGTACTTGGGGGTGATATCGCCCCACCGACTTTGACCAACGGCCACGTCAAGGCCTCACAGCCATCTCCAAAGCCTGCAGCAAATGGCTTCTCTTCCTCAAAAGCAGTAAAAGCGACAGGGTCTGTGGGCAAATTTGGACTAGGTAGCAGAACGACTACGGACAATGAAGTAGCAAAGAAAGGTCTGGATTTTGCAGACGATGAGGACACCAAGAAGAAACTCGAGAAACTTCCCAACATAGCATTGGAACAAGATCTGAGTGTTGATGACACTCAACCGGATGGAGCCGACGACGGTGACAATGATGTTGACATGCAGGAAGAAGATGGGGAGGAAGACGCCCAAGCTATGGCCGCCGCACGTGCAGCAGCAGAGCAGCGGAGTCAAGCGGAGCGAGGCGAAGACACGACCATGGCCGACGTATCTGCCCATCCAGCAACCACTACAACAAACGAGGAAGAGGAAGAAGTTGACCCATTGGACGCATTCATGCAGGATTTGCAACCTGTTGAAACCTCCAGGTCTTTCAGTAAGAAGGCAACCTCCAAATCGCGCCAACAAGAACCCGAGGCGCTTTTTGGGGATGACGAAGTTGACATTACAGCCGTCGATGATGAGCATCCCGACAACATTCTGTCACTGGCCAGTGCCACTGCCAAAAAGAAGAAGAAGGACATCCCGACCGTCAATCATTCCAAAATGCAGTATCAGCCATTCCGGCGCAATTTCTACTCAGAGCCCGTGGAAATGATTGATTGGACAGAAGAAGATGTAGCCAACTTGCGAATGGAATTGGACAATATCAAAGTCCGAGGGGTGGATGTTCCGAAGCCGGTGCAGAAATGGGCGCAATGTGGGCTGGGAGTCCAAGTTCTGGAGGTCATTCAGAAGTTGGGCTATGACGCACCGACCAGTATTCAGGCTCAAGCCATTCCAGCCATCATGTCTGGTCGGGACGTTATTGGTGTGGCCAAAACTGGGTCTGGTAAGACGATAGCTTTTCTTCTTCCCATGTTTCGACATATCAAAGATCAGCCTCCTTTGGAACCCCTGGACGGACCGATCGGCCTCATCCTGAGCCCGACGAGAGAGCTTGCTACACAGATACACAAAGAGTGCAAGCCCTTCCTCAAAGCTCTTGGTCTGAGAGCAGTGTGCGCCTACGGAGGTGCTCCCATTAAGGACCAAATTGCCGACTTGAAGCGTGGGGCGGAAATCGTGGTCTGTACTCCTGGCCGAATGATTGATCTTCTTGCAGCCAACAGTGGGCGAGTGACGAATCTGAAACGTGTCACGTATGTGGTGCTGGATGAAGCGGATCGGATGTTTGACATGGGATTCGAGCCTCAAGTTATGAAGATTCTCTCCAACATCCGCCCAGACCGTCAAACCGTTCTCTTCTCTGCGACGTTTCCCCGGCAGATGGAAGCGCTAGCAAGGAAAACCCTGACCAAACCCGTCGAGATTGTTGTCGGTGGTCGCAGTGTTGTTGCACCGGAGATTACCCAAATTGTCGAGGTTCGCGAAGACAACACCAAGTTTATTCGGCTGCTTGAACTTCTCGGCAAGCTTTATGAGGATGAGAAGAATGAGGACGATCGGGTGCTCATTTTTGTCGATCGACAAGAGGCGGCTGATGGTCTCCTACGCGATTTGATGAAAAAGGGATATCCTTGCATGTCGATCCACGGCGGGAAAGATCAGATCGATCGGGATTCGACGATTGACGACTTCAAGGCCGGCGTGGTGCCCATCCTCATTGCGACATCTGTCGCCGCACGTGGTCTTGACGTTAAACAGTTGAAACTGGTGGTCAACTACGATGCGCCCAATCATCTGGAAGACTATGTACATCGTGCCGGACGCACAGGCAGGGCCGGTAATACGGGAACTGCAGTGACCTTTCTTACTCAAGAACAAGACAGATATGCTGTTGACATTGCGAAGGCTCTGAAGCAGAGTGGACAGCCGGTCCCGGAGGCTGTTCAAAAACTCGTGGATTCGTTTATGGAGAAGGTCAAGGCTGGCAAAGAGAAAGCTGGTGCTTCTGGATTCGGCGGCAAAGGTCTCGAGCGGCTTGATCAAGAGCGTGATGCAGCCAAGGCTCGAGAACGCAAGACTTTCAAGACTGGCGATGAAGGCGAAGAGCAAGAAGAAAAGGAAGACGGTAAAGATGTCAAAGTGGGCGACGATCTGTTCGCCAAAGCCGCTTCAAGCGTCAAGCCGTTCGAAAGCAGCGCCAGTCTCCCTGGTGTACCCAAGGGGATTGACTTGGACGGCAAAATCACGGTCCACAAAACTGAGCGTGACACTGGAGGATCCAAATCTGGCGCTGGGGCTCAGAACCAAATGGACAAGGTCGCGGCAGCTGTGGGTGCGATCAATGAGAAACTCTCCAAAGCAGGTGTCATGCGGTCGGGCGTGCCTATTGACAACAAGGGTCCTGATGCTGGTGCATTCCACGCGACGCTGGAGATCAACGACTTTCCTCGTAAGTGTTTGCAGACATTCCTTTCGTGTGAACAGATTTTGCTAACTGTCGTTCTACAGAAAAAGCACGGTGGGCAGTCACGAACCGGACGAATGTGGCCAAGATCCTCGAAGCAACGGGCACATCTATCACTACCAAGGGCTCCTTCTACCCTGCGGGTAAAGAGCCTGGGCCCAACGAGAATCCCAAGCTGTATATCCTTGTGGAGGGTGATACCGAGGTTGTGGTGCACGATGCCATGAGAGAGCTGATGCGGTTGTTGAAGGAGGGGACAATGAGTGCGGCTGATGCTGCCGAGAGGACTGGAGGGAGGTATTCGGTGTTGTAAATGGCAGGCGGTCTTTGGTGCCGTCAAGATAGAAGAATCGAATGAATCTTGGCGATGTGTCTGTTTGAATGCCTACCAATCTATTTCATGTGACGATGACGCCGTCGCTGCTCCATCCAAACTCAATTTCTGCCCATGTCTCTATCGTCTTTGCTCCCGTAGCGTGGCACCGAACCAAGTCACCCCAAACCTGGCACCATCTACAAAGACCCCTTGGGGACCCTAGCCTTGTGCTTTGTCTTCTGCTCTTGTTTCAATCCAATCACTTTCAGACTTTCCACTCGTCTCTCTCTGACAAGCTGTCCGTCGCGGTACGAGCTCATGAAGTCTCTTCTCACGCGGTCCGTTTCTCTCCTCGCCACTTTTTCCGTCGTCTCTCACGCCTTTGCCTCTGATCCTTCACCGAAGTCTTCACCGCCCTCTGCCAACGAGACGCTCTACATCACCGCCCTGACCAACTACGCGGACCCGCCGTACCTGGCCCGCTTGCAGTGCTGGGCCCTCACCACCCGGTTCACCGTCTATCCGACGGTCGGGCGCGCTCTGGCCCTCGGCGACGTCGACAATGCCACGTACGTGGTGCTCCCGCCACGCAGCGGCGAAGGCTGGCACCGGCCGCCCCACGCCATGTTTTTCGTGCTGTTGAGCGGCGTGGCGCAGGTGTATGTTCCCCGTCGTGATGGCGGTGGCCGTGGGTTTGGAGAGTCATCTCCTCCTTCTCAACGAAATCAGCATCAACGACAACAACAGAACTATCTAGCTACTCAGTCACCGCCACGACCCCACCCCACCGACCCGCGCTGGGACACCATAACCATCACGCCGGGCTCGGCGCAGCAGATCCTCGTCGCCGCGGACACGGACACGCGCGCCAGGGGCCATTTGACCTTTTACCCGGGCGACGGGGACAGTGTGGCGCTGCAGATTCCCTTTCGGGACGGGGTCGTGCCGGCGCACACGGTCGTGCATGAGGGGGCGTGTAAGTGATGAGTGATGAGAGTGAGTGTGACCAGATCAAGGGAAGGGATTCCAAGTGTTGAACAGCCAGAGACAAGGGCCTGGACAGGAATGGGCAGAGATGGAATGGAGACCCTGGTCTCTGGCCTCTGAGGGGACTCACAAGAACAGACCGGCTCTTTGGAGGAGGTCACTGTATGTGTGCTGTGTGCTGCGTGCATGATCTATGGTCCATGTACTCGTACGGTTTATCAATATCGTACTTGGTATATATCACTTCTACCGTATATCTGTCTGTGACTTGGTATCTACAAGATATCCCCGGTTCGTCGACTCGACGGTCGAAGGAGAATGACTTGACGGTAGAAAACAATAGATTCGACTCGTCATGATAGAAACCAGGCCGCTCACTGTCTGTCGGTCTATTCACATGCTGTGTTCTGGAGAGTACGTGAAGAAACTCCACCCGGTCAGAGGAAGCGGAAACGACCCAAGGGACGACGTCCACTGTCCAATGTCCAATGTCGAATCTTGAAAAGCGTAAACCGGCCAAACTCGCCTCGCCTCACCCTTCCTAACTCGACAAGAGAAAGTCGTGTGACATGGTAATACCCCTGCCAGGTGTGGAGGGATGCATGTATGTTTGTATGCATGGATATCTCATCTCAACAAAGCCACGCAAACCAACCCAATCCATGCAGGACACGGGGGATATGCAACAGTGACAGACAGACAGGCACACAGGCACGCACGCAGGGAGAGAGGGTCATGCAGAAGTGGAAAAAAAAAAAAGGCAAATCCTCTTTGTTATGTAGCATGCATGTGTGTGAGAGATGCAGGACCGCCAGGCTTCTCGGCGGTAGCGCCAGGAGCTCAAACAGACACATAGATAGATAAGACGTTCATCAAATCCATCCTCGATGCATCATCCGGCACAGTATAGCACAGTACAGTACAGTACAGTAGGTAGAGCAGGGTAGAGTAGAGTAGAGCACAGAGTTCAGCCCAACGTTTCGAGAAGAAGAAAAAAATGGCCTTGCTTGCTTGCATTTGCTTGCGCATTTACATTTGCATATGTATGCAGTATCCATATCATGGCAAGAATCGCAGCTCGGAGCCGCTCATCGCGATCGGCCATTACCTTGAATAATGGGAGGGACTGTTAACTTTTTTCGTTCTTTCGACTCTTTGTTCGTTGTCAAGCACTCAATCCAATCGATAAAAACGAGTATAAAAAAAAACAGGGGTCCATCTCCGAGGGTAGGGTAGGGTAGGGTATGTCTAATAACCGGTGAGCACCCCTTACCTCTACCCTCTATCGTGCATTGTGCACACACACGCGCATGCATGCATGTCTGAAGGTGTGAATGGCTTTTTTGGGGTGAGTGAAGTAGCACAAGACAAGACAGGACAAGACAAGAGAAAGCAGGCACGGGTCTTGACATGCGTACGTGACTGACTACCTAGGCACCTGCCTACAAACAGCAGGTCACCAGGCACCTATTATTACTCGGTGCTCCGTAATCGTGTAGAAAGGGACCGAAGGATCAGTAAACATCGGAAACACAGAGGCAGATCATCCGTGCGGGCGCTGATGCGCTGGTGCAGGGTCGCCCAATAGTAGTTGCAGTTCGCATGAGCGCACCTCTCTTCCTGTGCATGGATTGAAATGAAAAATGGTATGAGGATGGTATGGACGGTTTGAACAAACAAACGAACCCACATGCCCTTTTCAGCTCTCCTACCACTGTCCCGATCCATTCCCAAGGTGCTCGTATCCATAATATCAAGTGACCGACCCTTTGGGTAGGTGGTAGGCGGAACGTGTGTGGAATGTAGGCCCAGTGTATCACACGAAAGAGAGTATTTGTCATTCATCAGACACAAAACCAACACCTGTCAAAAAAAGAATTAGCTTGCATGCATGCGTGCGTGTTGTCGATCGCAGAGTCGCCGGTCGGTCTGCCTTGGAGGTGCCAAGGTCCGGTGCGTTGGTCTATTTGAGCTATTTGAGCTATTATTTAAGCCCCAGTGGTCGGTTAGAGTACGAGTTGCTTGGTAGTTGGTTAGTTGGAGGTAGTCATGTTGCATTCATTTTCTTGCGTGTGTAGGTGCAGGTATGCATGTAGGTGGGCATGGTGGTGGACTCGCGGCTCCGAGGCGGGGTTTTACAATGTAATAACGATTGATATAATGGTGGAGGAATGTGGCGAGTATGGCATGGCATGTGGTGCCATGTATGTATTGTATTGTAGAAGTATGGTATGTGGCCAACATAAAGAGATGCTTTTGCTTTGTTGTAGAGTTTTGGAAGAGGTTGCCGATCTCCAGCACCTGCAGAGTTTAATGGAGAATCCGAGAAAGTGGCCCAACAGACCGCCTACTCTGTAACAAAGAAGAGAGCTGAAAAGGCTGGCACACTAGCACGGCCGGGTTTCTTTGGCGGGGGGACCCCATTTCGAATGCATCATTAGGCGAAGGCCGTGACAGCGACCGTGACGGTGACTCCCAAGGCTTGCACATGCTGATTTGGGCCAGAAACTTTCCGGACTACTTACTTATCCTTTGTCCAAGGAAAGGGTCTAGAGCTCTGTGCACAAACGGTGATTGGGACTTTTCAGTAGCCTTTTCCCCCAGGGTTATCAGCTGCTATTGGAGTGATGGGGGAGCAGACCAAAAAAGCAAGGCGATGGAGAAGTGCGGGAAGAAGAGGGTCGAGGGGGGATCTGCACAACGAGGACCGACGAGTATAACTGGCACCAGCTGGCTGGCGATCTGTGACGGGATGCAGGCTGCGAGCTGCGAGCTGCAACAAGCTGGTGCTGTTGTTGCAACAACAGCTTTCAGCTTCAGCTTCGACGAGCGGGACGGCAGATCTTTGTTTGGATCTTTTTCTCCTGAAGTTGGTTTTGGGGGTCCTTGGCTGCCCATTGATAGGCTGTAGCTGGCGTCCACCAAGGCTTCGGTACGAGTTGAAAAACAATGCCGTCGATACTAACAAGTAGGTACCTAGATAGAGTTAGCCAGTGGTAGCCAGTATTCTCTTTTTCCGGCCAGCACTCCCTTGCTCCAACACCCTTGTGCCTTGTGTCTGCCATGTGTCTTGTGTAGTGTGTACTCGGGAATAATGGACAATAATAATGCCTCGAGCCGAACAAACGCATCTGTACAAGTGGCACATACCGAGCACATTTCCATGAGCCTGCCTGTTATGCGTGAAATGATGTATGGCAACTCCAACGGAAAGCCTGGGAAGAGGATCGTAGGAGTAATAGTCGTTCCTTGTTCTCCCCCAGAAAGTAATCACTTACAAACAAACCCACTCAACCAGCCGGAGCCGGAGAGAATATTTCAGGGCGAGATACTTGGTACCTGGACCTGGACGTGTATTTGTCAAGTACTCGTAAGGAAGTACCTCGTCCCCTCGTCCCTCGTCCCTAGCCGTAGCCGGGGCATCCCGGGGAACAATGCAAGTGCTCGTACCCTGGCCCGTCGCTGCTTTATGCCTGGGCCCGCACTCGTCAGTCGGTCAGTCGGTCAGTTGGTCGGGCTCGGGGCTCGGAATCGCTTTGGATCACAAGCAAACTCGCCTCGCACGTATGTATGCATGAGAACATTTCGTGCCTGCCGGGACAAGAAAAGGCGCGAGTTGCGAGGTGCAAGGTGCGTGTTTCGCGTTGCGAATGCTGGGACATCGGAGCCAATCTCTGCCCAGTGCCCAGTGCCCAGTGCCTAGCTAGAGCCCAACCCAGGCAGGCTTGTGAACAAGAAAATACGACGACAATACGATCAACTTACAAACACCAACGTCTTCTTTTGTTGTTGGGTACGGGTGGTGGTGACGCCTCCCGCATTTACTTTCGCAATGAATGACGTGGTCTCCTCTCGCAAGACCGGACAACGTTGTAAACTGGACCAGGCAAAGCACCCAAAGGTCTGTCTTTGTCTTGGTTGCTGCGTATTGATTGGAGACCTCTACCTGCGTAGGTAGGGATCAGGCGGGCCAGTGCAGGTGCACGTGCAAGTGTACGCTTCAGCCTAGGTGCCTAGGTAGGTCTGTAAGTCCTTCCTGCCCCTCTCTCTCTCTCTCTTTCTCTGTTGCTTTCCGGGTGTTGCCAATGTATTGCGTTGTTTAATTTGCTCTGCTCTTCTCTCCTCTCGTCCACTGACGGGACTGCCCAGCACCGAGGACACGTAGTTCGCTCGTACGAGTGAATCCGTCGACTTCCGAGGGAAAGAAAATGACCAAGGGCATCCATGCGGCGGGCGGCGTGCGCAAGAGGGGAGAGGGAGAGTGGAGGTGGAGGTGGCCCCGAAACCCCGTTGCTGGCTGGCTGGACTGGCTGGCTAGGTGCGCATGCTGCGTTTCAGGGTTTCAAACTTCGGCACTTGCAAAGTACGAGTTACTCGGTCCTCGTATGAAAAAAAAAATGAGCAAATTCCCTTTTGAGGTAGTTGTAATGCATGGCATTTTTCTCTACTAACAAAGAAGAAGTGGTAGTTAGAGAGTGTTTGTCAAAACAGCCTTTCAAGATCTAAATCTCTCTCTTGCACAGAAATGCTGACTCAACCGCTCCTTGTACCTTTGTAACTCATGGGTTGAGGGAGAGCCTGCCCTGCCAGCCTATATGTTTGGCCGGGCCCCATTCTGTTACTGGGCAGAGGACTCGACGACGTCCATTCACAGTGCACACGTCAGATGCTTGAGCGACTCCCGCCAAGCTGGTTGGGCTGCATGGGGCCTGAAAGGGAAAATCAGTTGTTAATTGGTGGTTGGCAAGGGATCCTCTTCGAGTACCTTTGAAGGTGATTGCGACACAAGTGCATACGCCATTAAACGCCCGTGGTCAAGTGGGTGGGTGACACACCCTCCACCTTCCAGGTCTGGAGGGCCCTTGTGGGTGTCTTCTTTCCCTCGTTGTTCCACACTCTTTGATTGGATAGCCTAGTAACCCTGAAAGAATGTACCGAAAAGTCCCAAGTGGTTTGGCGGATTTGTATGGTTGGTAGTAGTAGCGGTGGTGTTGGTG